TCTTCCGTCGTTTTGCTTCTTCTACAGTAATGATCTGAGGCAAGAGAACAAGCGTCCAACCTAAAGCATAGCTCTTACACTGTCAATCCTCTGTTGAAGCAAATTCACTTAAACCAACATACTCCTCAGCTGTTACACTGTGTGGAGCAAAACCACTGTGTGGGATGGTTGTATCAAGCACAGGTGGCCTTAACCAAATGGGGAAATTCTTAACAAGCAAGGTGTCTTTGAGACAGCACAGCCGGAATTTCTTCATGCCCTGGTGACCTCCCACAGCTGTAGAGTCCTTTGGGATTAATAAACATTGAGGTAACCACGTGACATCATGTGGTCGGTCTCAGACATACTTGGTCCCAAGTCAGAAGGCTAAAGTGCACCTACTTCTTCTGAGGCACACTACCCACATCTGAACTTGAGGTCTTGTGCGAGTCTAAATGAGGAGGACACAGAAGCTGCTTTGTTTTCTCTCATGCAGCTCGTTGAGTACATTAATTACTTTCTCAGGTGCTAATGCATAAGAATATGAAAAAGTTTAAAATTTCACTTCTTTTTATTAAACCAGCAGCTTTTTCCTGGTTTTATTTATTGACTCAGACATGGTTTTGTGTATACAAACCGAAACAGAATGAATATAGCCAAGAAGTAAAAATGTAAATCAACTTGAACAGGTATTTCGAAGTTCAGTCTTGTAGGAAATGTACTGAGTAAGATTTTGAGCATCCAGTTTATGTTAAGTTCTTGAAAATACTTATTCTGAGAGTCAAGGTCTTTATAAAATACATTCTTAGTTGAAAATGACCAAACAGCTCTTTGGAAACTTCTGTTTATTCTTTTGCTTAAGACTTTATAAAGAGAGCACACTGTAATATTTTAAAAGGTGAGTGGATATAAATATTTCTAACATCAGGTTTGAATTTAAATACTTACAAAAATGAAGCACAGACTTCTCCCCAGCAACTACAGGTAAGCCACACTACTGCTTCCCGTAAAGCTGGAAACAAAATGAGAATGCGAGTCCATACGCTTAATGCTTGTCTATAAAAGGACTCAGCAGCCTATAAGGTGCTGAGAGACAGGGGACAAACTCTGAACCCCATGCAGCATGGGCAGCAAACAGGAGCCCAAACGTGGTGCAGGGCAGGAGCTCCCAGGCTGGCAGCACCGATGGTGCCGGAGCTCACTGCAGAGGGGAGGACGCTGCCTCGCCCCTCGGCAGCAGTAGTCCGGGTGTCCTGGCTCCTGACGAGCTGCTGCTGGGGTGCTCGGTCTCCTGCCTGGCAGAGGACATCATCTGGCACAGCTGGGAAGTGTTTCAGTGCAGCTCGGGGTGCTCAGTGAGCGACAGGAGCCTTGGCTCTGCACAGCAGTGGGAGGTGAGATGAGGCACACTGTGCCCAGCAGCGGGCTTTAGCTGGGGCTCGGTGCCACCATGGCAAACAGGGAGCAACAGCAAGAGCTCAGAGATGGGGCTGATAAGAAAGAAAAGGGGAAGCAAGGAGGCCTAGCTGCAAAACAAATGGGAAACCTTAAATCACCTTCCTTCTGTGAGCATATCACCACAGAGGTCTTACCTTGGAGCAGGAACCTCAAGATGTGGCTGCAGAGCACACTGCACTGCTGCCACACACCTCCCTGCCAGTATGGCTTCCAAATGACTTTCACATTACACATGGATAAAGTTTTGCGTAACTCCTCTGCACCTTCACAATCACTGCTTGAACTTGCAGAAGCTGTCGAGACAGCTGCCAAGACAGTTGAGACAATTGCCAAGGAGTGCCTGGAGTTCCTACACACACCTGCCTCGCGGGCAAGAAAACCAATCCACTGGACTGACTCCAGGTGCAGACTTAACCACACCACAGAGCACAGAGAAGGAGCTTTTCATGAAGACCAGGGTCAGTGAGGAGTTCACCATGGGTAGGATAAAGCCCTAATACTGTCAGTCACACCCAGCATCTCCAGTGGGATGCGGACAATACGTCCACCGCACGCACTCACGTCCAGCCCACGTACACCTGCGGACGCCTGGAGCTGAGCCCAGGGCAGCTGCCCTGAGCAGGGCACCTGGGCACTGGTGCTCCAATGCACGCAGCGGGGTTAGGAAAAGATGGAAAGGACCACCACAAGGCAAAATCCCGCCTGCAGAATTAACGTCGTTACATGCCTCTATGCGCCCGGGCAGTACAGGTATTCCTGCCGGTGACACTGGAAGAGCTGTACAGCTGCATCCTGCCCCTCCAGCCCAGGCTCAGTGGGATCTAGTCCTGAGTCTTCTGAGACTGGAGGGAATCCTGCGCTGGAAAATTTTTCATATGGCCCATTTCAGGGAAGGTTTGCACTGCAAAATTAAGATCAATTTAAAAAAAAAACCCAACAAACTGTTAAAGGAAAATGGTCTTTTTCTGCTTTTATCCTTGTTCTTTTTCCACCTCCTGAATGGTTTTCCTTCCCTCCTCATCTCCCAGGCCATTATTTTATTTTACTTTTTTCTTTTTCTTTTTTTTTTTTTTTTTTAAATGAACACCTTTTCTGTCTTGTGTCAAAAGTACCCAACTCCTCTTCCAAACACTATTCTTTAGGAATAGTCTCCCCCCAAGAGCAGGGGGAAAAGTATCACAGTACATCAACCAGCAACAGGTACCTGCAGCAAAATGCAACCAAACGCACAGACATAGGCAACCACAGAAAATCTATTAACACAGCTGTAGACTGCAAATCGACTCCAAAGACTGACAAGCCCCCCGCTTCACTGCATAGATACCTATTCTGTCTATAACTGAAGCACACATTTGAATGAAGTTTGGAGTTAACAACTGAAAAAAAAAGGGATCTGCAAGATCAGGTATTTACAGACCACACAAAAGCAGAGACAGATGAAAAGAAACAACCACTACAGAAACCAGATCTACAAAATCTTTTAAAGATTTTATGGGACTGTTAAAATTCACCTGAGTACGAAGCACACTTTTTACTAGGACAGAAGTGCTGTATCAGATCCATGCTGTTCAAACAGGGACACAGTTCAACGTACCTCCACAAAAGGTTCCTCCAGGCCAGGTCTGGCACAGTAAAGAATTCGAATATTCAAAGGCATTTGTTTCCCTTTCATCATCTGCCAGTTTATTTTGCAGTAGCCACTACACTTCCCTGCTCTAGTGGCAAGAGCTCTCGCCTGCAAGCATGACAGACGGCTACTGCCTGTGGCACACTGTGATAAAGTTGCTTATATGCTTCTCCATGATCATACTTTCTGTTTCCCCACAGGGGAGAGTGAAACTTTCACAGTAATCATGCCCAAATTTGGACTTCCGATAGAGATTTCCTGGCAGACCTACGTTGAATTTGTAAAGCTTGACTATATTACAAATAAAAGAGACACACCTTCAAGAAACTGTTTCCAGCTAATCCTTCTCTCAATACATATTTAAATAAAACAATGAGACAAAATCTCCCAGTGTGGCCAGATCTCTCCCACCTCTGTTCTTTGGATCACTGGCCCTCCTCTTTCATTTTGGTTTTATGAAAATGGCATGCAAATAACAACCGAACAATGAAATCTAGTGCAATATATGACTGCACTCAGCTCTGAGCAAAACAAGGAATGCAGACTTTTTTTTTTTCACCTTGCAGTTCACAGAGCACCAACATTAAGAAACTACAAAACTGTAAAAATAACAGCTATCTGGGATTAGAGGTGATGTTGCTACATTTCAAATAAAAGCCCCACTCACGAGCTCTGCTTTTCAACAGGACAACATACTTTGAAGATAGAAATGCTAAAAAAGAAAAAGGAGGGGGGCAGTAGAATTTTAAAAACAAGTTTATGTTTACAACAAAGACTCAGATCACTTTTTAAATCAACATCAAGATATTTCATACTCAGGGATTTATTTGTTTTTTAATTTAACCCATATCCTTGCACAGCGAGTGCGTCAGCATTCAGAAATATCATTACAAAATGTGTGCGAGCTTATTTCCCTTAGAAACTAGGCTTTGTATGCACAAGAGACAGACAGATAAACACAGGCATGCCAAGTAGTTAAAACTGATTGCAAAAGCCCCCATATGAAAAAGCCAAAGTCCCAGTCTAAAACCTATCCATCTTACAACCAATATTCAAACAGTATTGCTGCACGCACCTGAGGAGCAAGGTATGTATGGCACAACATCACATACCAATCCATGTCAACTAGCACACAGGGGTCTCTATTGGTGTTTACATGTACATATACATTTTGAAGGCTTTACTTGTGGCATACAAATACAACACGAATTTAGCAACGCTGACAACATACACCTCTATAGGTTTGCAAAAGGCTAACATCACATAACCAAAATATTTACACGTCTTCTGCTGGCTGCACACCAAAGAGCTCCCAGTTGTTTACCTGCTCCTTCTAGGGAGAGAAGAAAGGAGGACTGAAGGAATATGAGTACCTTTGTGAGACAGATAAAAGCCTTGAGGAGACTTCTATATGAAGCACCAAGCATTATAAAGAAACACCATAAAAATCGCCAAAGGAGCAAGTGCTGAGATTCTTAACAGGGGATGCACGCTTGATATGCACATGCTTCATGCAACGGCAGAAAGCACTCACCTCCCAGCTTTTAGTAGTGGGCTCACTGAAGAAGTTGTCTATCATGTCAAGCTCCTCCTTTTCTACCACGACAAAACCTTGCTCTTTGGCATCTTTCCCGTATATTTCTGGTGACCACTGAACAAAAAACGTGTACAAGTGATCCACCCTGTAAACACAAGAGGAGGAGACAACTGTTGTGCAGTGGTCCATGAACACAGCACTGTCACGTACTGCTGAGGTTTTGCCCAATGACAAAGAAGGGACAACCATACAAACAGGACACCCGTCCCACACAAGGCAATAGCTCCTTCCACCTGGCAGCCTGAAGCGTTTCAAGGATTCTCTGCTTTCCGTCCCCACAATATTTTTTTTCCTCCCTTTGCTATACACACAGCCAAAGCATCACAGAAAAACTAAGTGGCTTGTCCAGTCCCACACAATTCATATTAACACAACAAATCGTTTGGTATTAGATCATGCTCACAAAAGATAAGTCCATTAAAAAAACCTCACTTTAATTATTTAGTTTGACCTCCTGCATAAACCAAGCCATAAGATATCACCAGTAAAGTCTACACCACGTTTCTAGCTGCCCTCTAAAAGTTTGAGAATAACCTCAAAACAGTTCTTCATTCTGTTAGCATAATGAAAATAAGCAGTTACTGACAGCTTTGCTAATGATACAGTACCAGCAGTGTATGCACTTCCATAAATGTAGTCAGCTCGCAATCACTGTCTTTAAAGAGATGTTCTTTGGCAACGTCCATAACAAACAGTGAAACAACTTCTAAAGTAGGAATTTATGTAGTATATACAAGTAAAAATGAACACATGCAATTTCAAACAGGAATACAACAGTGGATCTACTGTACAAGAAGTTGAATTGCCGGGGGGGGGGGGGGGGGGAATCAAACCCTAATTAAAGAGGGCAGATAGAAAGATAGTAAGTATTTCTGACACTGGATCTTTCTCCAGTTATTCACCAGGAAGTTTTGTCCAGCTATTCCTTGATCAATACAAACCAAGAAAAATCTTGGGCAAATTTAGACATTTTCCCCCTATTATTTCAAGTTACTTGGACTTATATATACAGGCACAAATAATCTTAAAATGCCATTTCAGCACTGTTGGATTCTGTTCAGGGTCACTAGTCTAATTCCAGAGATTTTTCCAATGAAGTCTACATTTTTTGTTCTACACTCCTACCAACAAGGGCTAGAGTCTGATGTCAGTTCTAACTGCATAAACTGACAGCCCTGAAATTGTTGCCCACTCATGACAGCTATGCTAATTCACAGTCAAAGTGAGATATTTGGAGGGGCTTGACACACTTTGTCCGCAAGAAATTTTGATCCAATTTCCACTACCCTCAGAAGGAATAAAAGATTGACTTTGCTTCGTCATGGAAATGTCCTCTTAACCATGAAAAAGGAACAAATCGGCATTGCCATCATTTTTTTCTCTTCTCCTTTGCACATTCACAAACGCTTCTGTGGTGTATGGCTAACAGATGTTCTAGGAGAGTTTAAATTTTTGTTATCAAGTAAGAACTGTACCTGTGAAACATTTTTAACATATACAACCAAATACGGTTTTAGTACAACTGTCCTAAATTTGTGAACAGCCAACACTAGTTCCTGAGGCATCAGCAGCCTCCCTTCATCAAGAACAAGTAAGGTAGCTAATGTTGATACCAAAGTAAAAATTTTAGCTACTGTTTGTTCCTCTGCAGCAACACACACACAAGAGATCAAGGTAGTGCTGCGCAATCAGTCTTTGGGATAGTTCTCGCCAATTATTGCCTGGAAAAGAGGGTCACACTCCCATTGCCAGGGGTTCCCCCCTTCTTTGTGAGAAGCCACGTGATTGCTTAAAAGTTTGTGTAGATCTAAAACCAGTGAACTATGGAAGGCACTTCTAAAAGCCGTACCATCTCATTTTAGTCAAGACCTTTTTAACTGCAGAAGTTTTCTGACATCAATAGGTGCCACTCAACATACGCCATTCCTCTTCATTTGCTCACAGAGGCTTCAGAAAGAGCAGTATGATCATCTCTTTGCTAACTAATGTTAGTTTTAACTGAAAGAGACATTTAACTTGAGCACTGTGTATTTTACGTGCAGTAGTCCTAGTCTGGAAAGCTAACTACAAATCCCTATGAAAGAACAATAAAACTAATGGTTGCTGCTGTCTGGCTAAGATCAGTTTGAAACCACGTTCATATAGGTGGGTGGAGGAGAGCAGCATAATCTCATCTCAGAATCGCAGAGCATATTTAGGTTGTAAGGCACCTCTGGGGATCATCTAGGTCAACTTCTATTTATAGTAGAGCTAACTTCCAAGTTAGAGGAGGTTGCACAGTCTTCTTGTCCATTTGCAGTTGTGAAAATCTCCAACAGAGATTCCAGCACCTCTCCATTTTGTCTTCTATCTAACCACGATTTCCGCCGCATGCAGCATGTGATCTCAGAAAGGTCTGGCACCATCCTACTTTTTTTTTTTCCCCTCTCGTCGCCCCTTTTTTTAACCACGTGTCCCAAAGGAAGAGGGAATGACCACCACCCAAGCTGCTGGCTATGCTCTTCTTCATGCAGGCCAACAAGAAGAAAATCCTTCATTACTGCAAAGACACACCGCTGACTTACGCTGAGTTTGCTCTCAGCTTGCCCAGCTCCTTTCCTGCAGAGCTGCTCCCCAGGCCGTCCGTCCCCAGGCCGTACCACTGCAGGGGCTGCTCCGCCCCAGGGGAACAACTTTGCATTTGCCTTTTCTGAACTTTCTGATGCTTTCGCCAGCCCATTCCTCCATGCTGAGGCCCCTCTGAACAGCAGCCCTGCCCTCCAATGTGTGAATGCTCCCCAGATTTGGCGTCATCTCCCAAAATGACAAAAGTGTATTCAGTCCTAATGTTCATGTTGCTGATGAAGGCATTAAACAGCACCAGTCCCCAAGGAATACCACTTGCACCTGGCTGCCACTCAGACTAGCTACCAACCCTTTCAGCCCAATGGTCCAGTCAATTTTTCACCCACCTGGTAGTCTGCCTGTCCAGGTCACATCTCTCCAATCTGGCTATGAGGATACTATGGGAGATTGTGTTGAAAGCCTTCCTAAGGTCATGGTAAAACAACAATCCCTTGCTCTCCCCTTGTTCACAGAGCTAGCCATCTCAAACAGAAAAGTTATCTGGGTGGTAGAAAAACAATTTGCCCTTGGTAAATCTATGATAACTGTTCCTGATCGCTTCTTGCCCTCCATGTGTTTGGAAATGATGTCCGTGAGGATGCGCTTCATAATCTTCCCAGGGACTGAGGTGAAGCTGACTGCCCTGTGCCCTCACGGATCCTCCTCGATTCTTCTGAAGATCATTGCAGCATTTGTTTCTCCAGTTATTAAGAACCTCTCCCAATGATCATAACCTTCCAAAGGATGACAGAAAGCAGCCTTGCAACAACATGAACCAACTTCCCCTGTACACTCAGAATATTTCCTGTCAGGCCCCACAGACCTGTATATGCTTAGTTTATTTAAGTAGTGCATAACTAAGTTTTCCTCTACCATGGACAGATGCTAAATAAATCCAGACACTCCAGATTTAAGAAGCAGCAGCATAAAATGAGAAATTGGTGACTGTAGAAGTGAGGTCATTCTGAAAGGGGATGAAGAGCATCCTTTCTCTGTTAATAAAATTATAACATTATGGTATGGTGGTATTTCCAAACTCCCAAACTGAAAACATTTGAGACAATCTTTAAATTGAAAAACCACTGCTTGAGGAACACTTATAGCCAACTTGACAGCTGCGAGGAAATTTATCTTAGAACTCAATTGCTGCTTTGGTGATCACATGCTTATGAGTCTGTCATGCACAAACAGAGAAACATCAATAAAACATAAAATACTTGGAAAGGAACAACTCCAGAAACCTGAAGTTAATCACTCCAGAAAGAAATTATTCAAAAGGAAAAAATGATAACAGGAAACTACTTAAAAAAAAAAAACAACAAAAAAAACCCCAAAAAACTAGGAGACACAAATCAAAAATGAAAGATGGAACACTGATTAAAGAGGGACACCTCCCTCCCCAGCGGTAGCCAGATTAAAAGGAAACTGAATATGCTTACAAATATGTTCATAGTAACACACACACAGAGGACACAAAACAAAAGTAAAAAGAAAAGTTTATAGTGAAGGATATAAATTCAGTAGAAAACTAATTTTGGAGAGTACAAAGCATGACATAAAGATCATGACAGCAAAGTGATAAAATCAGTATAAGACAAAAGCTTCATGGAGTACTTATGCCACTACATTGCTTAGTAAACTGGGCACAACCATCTCTGTGTGTGAATGCATCTGAGCAGAGGAGCACACACCGAAGAAGAGCGAGCAGAGGCGGTGCTTGCAGGATGGTACTTTACCCACGGCAGAAGGACCCTAGAGACCTGGGATAACGGCTCTGAATTTTGAAGCAAGAGTTCTGCACCAGCACACCGATGACAACACTTGGTGCGATCCTTGAATGTACCAAGAAAGTAACATTCAGCGGAAGGAATGAGATTGTGTTTAGTTTGGTGTTTGACATTTTGGTGACCACTGCTGGAATACTCTGCCCATCTCTGGTGCACCATTCCCAAGTCACACTCAAGTGTGACAGCTTAGAGATGCAAAACCAACTGCCGTACAGCAAGAGGCAAAAAGAGTTATTTAGCTTACAGGAGCAATACCCTGTGATAGCCTACATTAAGAAGAACTGAAACTGGTCATACAGATACAACCACAACCAGGGACTGGAAGCCAGAAAAATTAAAGTAGGTATATAGTGCACTGAAAAAGAGCAAAGGCAATTAACTTGTCAAGTTACAGTTGGTTCTTGAGGGGGAACTGTAAATTATTTTTCTTCTAAAAGATATACTTCAATTTAGGAAGTCACAAACTGACATCACTACCACCATTTCTGTTGATATGGCAACAATATCTGACTTCTTTGAGGGCAGAGGCAAACCAGTTTTCCATAAATTAATGTCTTCAAGTCAGTCACAGGTGTCAGGGGGGCTACTTCCAAATTTGTGTGTTTGGATAGTGGGAGAGGGTTTGTGCATCCTGCGATACATGTACAAAGGCTCTAAGTCCAGCTACAGCACCTGGCCTAGAAAGAGGAATTAATTCAGGAGTCCTACGACTTAGTTATTAACATGCCTGACTAGGTGATGATGATCCTTCATGAATCTTATGAGGACTAAGGTATCGTAAGCCCTCATATGCTTCTATGAGCTTATATAAACTTATAGGAGCCCTCATTGTAAGATATTAAGCTATAGATACAAACAGGTTTTCATAGGTTTCATCTGTATAGTTTGATTTACCAAGAGTCTAGGAGTACTCTATTTGTAGAAGGCTGATTCAAAAGCAGTCTAAATCTAAATTTTATGCTACCTATTCCATTCTGTTAACAGCAGCATGGAAGAGTGATCCTTCAGCACCAGGACCATCTTAATCATCGTCCCTTTATGCAAAGCCCTGCGTAAGTGCACGGGAGCACCACGTAGGTATTGACTCCAGCTAGTTGTGCTGCCAGTTCTTCCAGATCTCAGCTTCAACCGTATTAACTACAGGGTGTTACGTACTAGATACTAACAGGAGTCACAACCAACCGACATCTTGCTCTACGAAAGGAAACCCCACAGAAACAGTAACAAAAACCAAACCAAAACTCACCCAACTCCCCAAACCAAACCAAAAAAAAAATCAAAGGGGAAGGAAGCTAAGACTGAAAAAGAGAAGAAAGGCTCAACCCCTGCTGAAAAACAACCCCTCAACCCCTCCTTGAAAATCTGCCTGCTCTCAAAAAAGGAACTTCCAAAAAAGCGGATGCCCTCTCAGCAGCATGATCTCAGTGCAATGTCTTTTACATCAACATCAATGCAAATTATACATTCATAAACCAAACCTGCCTGCCAAATTTATATGATAGATAATCAGTGAGATTTACTTCTTGACTGAGGAACTAGTCTATGCTAAAATGAGGAAATTATTTGTTAGGACACATGTCTGTAAACAAAGAAATTCTGCATTATTATCTCTGTCCCAGTGCAAGGCATTTTCCTCTGCAAGACCTTAAGGAAATATGTGACATAATTACTGACCTACTACTACTCAAAATCCACTAGGGTGGAAAATCTACATACCATTTAAATGTAAATCCATGTAGTCAGAGCATGCACAGACTTACCCTCTAATACTGTAAGCTATACCCATTGCAAGACTTCTCAGCAAAAGAATCAATCTCTCTATTAGTGTCCAAAACCATGGGTGCCTCTCTGCTCAGCTGAACCCAAGAAGAGCTGCCCTAGACTGAGTAACCTGTAGTAATCTGCATATAAGGCAACTCCAGATGTCCATCTCCCCTGCTACGTGTCAAGGCGAGCACCACTGTGATCAAGGGGGCAGCGCAAAGCAGCCCTATCGTCACTCATTAACTCAGCCGCGCTGCGTGGGTCACGGGGCGAGGCACGCCAGGACACTCTCAGCACCCAGGAGGTCACGTAGGAAGAGAGAAAACCTACAACAGCTGCAAAAGGCAAACAAGACTTAAGACTTCTTGACAGCCTTTATAAAGAATATCAGCCCAACAGTCTTCTCTCTGTATTAATAGCGTTTCCCAAGGCTTCCACTAAAAAGAAAAAAAAGGAAAAAAAATTAAAAATTTTAAGAGGTAAGCATGTTTACCCCCCAGTGCAGCTTTCCCACAGCCTGCCAAGGCCAGGAAAGCAGCAGCAGTCTGCAGATGGATAAGCAGCTCTGCTAGGAGCCGCAGGCTACGGGGCTCAGGCTGAAAATGGAGCTGTTTTCGCAATTGATGACAGAAGCTGTTTTAACAGCAAACACTAACAGACCATGGAAAAATACAATTAAATACAAATCAGAGGAAGATTTAATTTACACAATGATTATAGACATGCACTCCAATTTCTTCACAATCTCAATCCAGGTTTGTTTTTTTTTGGTGGTGGTTTTTTTTTTTTTAATTACTATGAAACATTAACATGCTGCACAAGCTACTGTTACTGCACTGGACAGAGCATTTTATTTATGCTGCTTTATGATCAATGAGATGAGAGTGGTATTCTTGATATTTTCATACGTGAATATAAATTGCATTCCAAATGTCTTTACACTTAGTAAATTATTTTGATACATTGCATGAAAAATAAATTGCGAAGTTACCCCAAGTGGCCTACTGTCCCTGGCACTCAAGATAACTGAATACCACTGATAATTATATACTATGCAATACTGGTGCAAGAATATCACCAGCAAGTAGGAAGCAATGCATTTCGGTTTGGGAAGGCATACGAGAGTTTGGAGAGAACACCGACTTGTTAGGCAAAGACATGTCTTGCATTAATACGAAGGAGTGGGTCTCGCATTTAATTTTTGCCCCAAGTTCTGCATGATCTTGTACGCACCTCTGTGGTGTTAAAACACGCATGCATGAATAGCACCAAAACGACCCAGTCTTATACTACATTCACCACTAATTTTGATCAAGATCTGAACAGCAGCCCCGACAGCAAAGATCTGGCCTGTCAGCCAGCACAGCCAAATGCTGCTGCAACAGCTCACTGCAGAAATTACTTTTTCCTCATTCTAAAAACTTAAGTATAAACCAGATGTCAACACTTCAGTTTATATATGGATTAGGTCCCCTCACTAATCGGAAAATTACTGCTCATAAAACGACAAGTAAAGAAGCTGTTTTCCAAGTCTGTGCTGAGAAGCTTAATAGATTTACCTGTTGCACAGAGCAACTATCAAGAGACCTCAGTTCAGCTCAGTAGCTTTATTCAACATTAGAAACACTATCCCCAAAGCAATAACTGACCTTGTGTTATATTACACCATCACTCCAACCCCTTTAAGTATTTACTCACACTTCAACCTAGAATCTTCTGAACGTGTCCTTTTGCAGTCCCTAAGGAGCCAAGGACTGGGTTCAGCAAAACCAAAAGCTATCTTCAGCTACACTCCCAATGGCCACATTCCAGCTGGCTTAAATCTCTCCCTCTCCTCCCCTGGGTCAGCAACTTCCACACTACTGGTCTGCTCCAAACGCTCATTTCTAAAATACAATAAATTAACACTTAAGTCAACACACATGCTACAAATCTGAAAATAAAATCAAATATTCTGAAAAATTATTTAAAAAAAAAAAAAAAGAAAAAATTGACTGCATCTTGAAAACACCTCTGAGATTGATCGCGAGTTCAGATTCTTCCTTCCTGGTATCTAATTCACCAGAAGTGTGATCACCGATTTCCCTCTTTTGGTTCATCAACAGACCAGAGAGTTGCTCTAGCTGCCCTCTAGCAAGAGAAGGACCATGGATTTGAGTCCTCACAGCCAGTGAAAATTCTTGGGTGATCTGAAAATCACAGGCCTACACTTTTTTTTTTTGGTGCTATAGTACTATTTATGCATACATACACACCTACAGGCACATAAAACATTTAAATGGATTTTATTGTGAAGGAAAGGATGTTTCTTAATGGGCCTGAAAGCAGAAATAGCCACACCCATTCCGTTAGGAGTGTCTCCATTTTCCACATCATGCCCTTCGCTCATGTGAAATGCCTGGTTTTTAGCACTGGCACCTCAGTGGATTCCTTGCCTCTCTTGCCACTGCTTCCCTTTTCCCCTTTCCCTCACTTTCTAGACTACAGCTGAAACCCAGTCGTCCCCTAGTGCTTTTATCACGTTAGCTGCAGGTATATCCCTCTTTTCATCTTTGAAGTGGCACCTGAAGGAGGCTTCCTTCCCACTGGGAGTCATATTACACCAGCAACACACACTGCTTCATCTCTCTGGCATGCAATGAAACAAGGGCACCCCCCTCCTCATCTCAGCATCCTTGCTACATTTCACACCTTGGACCACGTAGGGAAGTCAGATTCAACTCTAGAAAGCACTACACATTTTAAAAAGTAAGAGACAAACATGTTTTTGTGCTATGCACTGCAGCTTACCTTTCCCGAGGAACAGCAAACCAGTACTCTGGTTGCTTTATCTTTTTACTGTACTGTTGAGACATGGTGGTGCTCTGAGACGCAAAAGACTTTCTCATGGGCTTGCCTACTTTAATGCACAGAAACATTGGAGGAGTCTTGCTCTTCTCCTCTTTTGAAGGAAGCATATCTGAATGAGAGACAAAAGAAATGGGCTGCTTACAGGAATGCACAAATACTGCAGCTGATAAAACATTGTCACAAAGATTAATAATCTCGTGCAAAGGAATCATAGAATCATCGTCAAGGTTGGAAAAGACCCTTAAGATCATCGAGTCCAACCGTCAACCTATCACTGCCAAGTCCATCTATACCATGTCTTCAAGCACCGTATCTATCCATTCTTTAAATACCTCCAGGGATGGAGACTCAACCACTTCCCTGGGCAGCCTGTTCCAATGCTTGACCACCCTCTCGGTGAAGAAGTTTTTCCTAATGTCTAACCTAAACTTCCCCTGGCGCAGCTTGAGGCCGTTTCCTCTCGTCCTATCACTTGTTACTAGGGAGAAGAGGCTCCTTTCAGGTAGTTGTAGACAGCGATAAGGCCTCCCCTCAGCCTCCTCTTCTCCAGACTAAACAACCTCAGTTCCCTCAGCCTCTCCTCGTAAGACTTGTTCTCTAGACCCTTCACCAGCTTTGTTGCACTTCTTTGGACACGCTCCAGCACTTCGATGTCCTTCTTGTAGTGAGGGGCCCAAATGAACTGAACACAGTACTCGAGGTGTGGCCTCACCAGTGCCGAGTCCAGCCTGTCCAGGTCCCTCTGCAGGGCCTTCCTACCCTCCAGCAGATCAACACTTCCACCCAACTTGGTCTCATCTGCGAACTTACTGAGGGTGCACTCGATCCCCTCATCCAGATCATTAATGAAGATACTGAACAGGACTGGCCCCAGGACTGAGCCCTGGGGAACACCACTGTGTGGAATACTCAGAGGCACCATACACAGAATTAAACCTGACGTGTCATTCAATAGCAAAACTGGTTTAATAAATTCTTGTTCATTCTAAACTGTGGTCATTTATTCCCATTTCATCACAGCCTGTATTCCCCTCAGCTATACAGCTATATACAGAATAGCCCTGTAAAACAAATCAGTAAGGTGATCGGGCTGGGTGCCAACTGGAACATGAAGCAGGCAAGTAAAGGGGACAGTGTTTGACTGGGTCCAGGAAACCCATCCAGTCGAAGGGTAACCCTGTGCACACACACACACAGACACACACAGCCCCATCAGCTTCTCAACTCTGATGGTCAGCCAGCCAGCCAAACACCTTTTGTCAGCCCAAGACAGGGTCAAGCATAAGAGCCATTTAAGTTCATTAAACTGCTAGTGCGACAAAAAAATTGCTTATTGAACTAGAGCCTCAATCACACTGAAGTTGCTTCATTCATTTTAGGAGTACACATACAGCCGTTTTTTTTTCTCTCCCAATGAGAACAATTGCCAAATACAACTAGTGAGATGTAAATCCTTCCAAAAAAAAGGAAAAATCACTTTAAGAACCACTGTTTTTAAAATAAAGACTTCCACTCTAATCATCCCCCCCCACCTGATATGAATCAAGGGTACGTCCGCTGATTCATTAAACTACCAAGAGAGGAGCATCAGTGCTCCAGGATGGACTAGTGCTTAGAGGCACTGGGCTGTAGTAGAAATAGTAATATGTGTACATGCGATCTAAACTGAGATTTCATTTTGTTATATGCTTTCCAGTAACAGCCTGAATTTTATTTATAATAATCGAATGACCAATCAGGACAAAATGATCAGTCAGTAAGACTCTACATACATTCCTATTTATACTTCTTTAAGGGTTTCCATAGCATGAAAGACACTAGACAGATGAAAATTGTGTCAAGAATACTTCGGTACCCCCTTTACAGCAGTGCACTTCTACTACTTCAGATACTATCAGAAATACACTGACAGATTTCACTGAAGCAACAGAAGTTACCAGTACAGAGCGACAATTTCTAGGCCATGAAGCGTCCCTGTCAGTACTGCAACTGGGTGACATTTCACTGTCCTTCTTAAAGCCAGTAAACAGAGGTGAAGATTATGTAAACAGTGATCACTGAATATGGAAAGAGCACACAAGCTACTTATCAAACTAGAAGCTTAGGGAATTTGAAGGTATTTTTTTCTTCTAAATAGCAGATAATATAAAAATATAATATACAAGAGTGAAACCAAAAAAAGACCAGATATTACAGAAAGAGGAAATTTAGAGCAGAAAGCTATCAATTCAAAGGTTACCGTCATAATGCTGTCCAAGTCTCAGAGGAAACAAGGATAACGAGAGACCTACCTTCAATTGGCACTTGAATTTTCTGCAGCAGCCACAGTCTGATTTCTGATTGATTGTCTAACTGTGTTTCTTGAGAGGTCTTGTCTACAGCTGGTACTAATGAAGAGTCCACAGACTCTTTCAGATCCTTTTCCTCTGCTGCTGCTGAGCTGATTTCTAATGAAGGTGCTTTCCTTTCAACACAGCAAACTGTATGGACTTCATTAGCGTGGGACTTTGAACAGCTAAGTGTAAGGTCTATACCAATTGCTTTATTGTTTTCACCTTTCTGGATTTCAGCCTTGTGTAAGTCTTCAGATGACTGAGACCCATTCCCATCTTTATTGAGGTAAAATTCAATAAGTTTATCTTTCTCTAGCTCTTTCTTAGTGTCCAATGCAGTCTCCACCTTACCTGTTGGGGAACTGACACATTTGTTTACTTCTGGAAAAACATCTTGCTTTTCACACAGGTCTAAGTCTAAGTCAGCTTTAGGTTCAACACTGTCCTTTTTTTCCAAGGAATCAACTGTCAAGTGCTCCTGGACTTCTGTAGTGGGTTTGGTTACCTGCTGCTTAGTTCTCCCCAACTCCTTGGGGTCAGTCAGCAAGCCTTCCATTACTGAGATTTTCCTGTCCAACCCTCTATCCATACAAGATGACGTCTTTTCCAGCTCAATGAAGTCATCCTCTCCTTCTCCCAAAAGGGATTTTTCTTTGGTTTTGATGTCTGAAGCATTTTTTTCCCCAGAAGGCTCCTTGGCACATGGATCCGCAGCAAACTTTGCCAAATGATCAGTGGCAGTGATGTTGTTGGGAAGCTCCAGTGACTTTGACTTGATTGAGCCTGTGCTCTCAGATGACTGAAGAACCTCAAAATCAGCAGATTTTTCCTTATCTGAAGGCTTTATCTGTTTGGCACCCAGAGCAATGGATGGATCTCCATTCTGCTGCCTCTTTTCCTTGCTAAGGGATTTGAATTTGCTGAAAGGATTGATATCTTTCTCAGAGGACAGGTCTTCCCATTCTCCTGGCCTGTACAGAGGACAAAGATCCTTTGGTATGTCACTGTCAGGGAAAATGATGGATGTACACAGGATGTTAAAAGCAAAATGGAAACAGAAAAAAAAACGGAAAAGAAAAAATAAATATACCAACTTAACTTAAGCTCTGAAACTCAATGAAAAATTACTTTCTCCAAAATAAACATAAGTCAGTGGAAACAAGTGACTTTAAAGAAAATGAAGAAAAATGCGGAAAGGATAATACCGAAATAAAATGAGTAAACCACTTGGCAGAGTATGCCACATGGGTGAAGAAATGGTATACATGTAATAACAATGTGCAAGTCATCAGAAGTTCAGTAACCAAAAAACCACAGGACATGTATTTAGCTGCTGGAATTTCATTCATATCATATTGTTATTTCTCACACCTGGCAAAGAGTCAACCTCTACGACCATCCATGTTTTCCTAGTCAGTACAAATAGATTTTTGAGAAGAAAGGAAACCAGAGATAAGCCGTACCCTGTTTGAACATGTTTACTGCAAAACAGTAACAGGCAACAGAGTTGGGTTTTTTTCCTTTTATTTTTCGCCATTACTCAAATGTACTGTTTGCATGCAGACTTCCCCAAAGATTTCTTTTTAAAGTTCTTAAAGAACTCGCAAAACATTTCAAAATGGAAAATTCTTAAGAACTTAACAGCATACAACTTGAGTTCTTCACTACTGCTAAAAAGTATGAGGTGAACAAGAATACGAGATTCTCATCACTTAAAAGTTATTAAGTTACTAGACACTCCAGTCATGAGCATAACACAAATATCTGGAAAGTTTTTCTTGAAATGAGAAAATGAGAGAAGTAGATGAATTTCACTGATCAAACAGGTGTTGCCTATAAAGACAAAACCTTGCTTAGAATACATACATAAGCAGTGCCTAGACTATGCATAAATGAAAGTAGCCCACCCCAGGAAGCCTGTTATGTATTATAAATGCAAACTAGCAATGAATTTCTGGTTCTGAAGTGGAAGCATTCCACAGAGTGGTATTTCTGTAAGTACTGAAGACGGCGGTTAAGGTGCTGTTGTCTTCAAAAGTTTTAAATACTCCTCTCAGAACAGTCCTGGTAACACAACAAATGGTCCAAATCTAACCCTCTTCACTTCCACTGAAATAACCCCAGAGACGGGTCAGTGCAAGAACCCAAACGTGGCATGCCACCAATGGTTTTAATTACTGATTTTTACTCGTTTCCTTTGCACTTTGGTTCTCATATTCATGACCCATTTCTCTATACTGACACTGAAGTGTTCTAAAAAGAAAGCAGAAGAACAATACAAGTGACTCATTCCTTTGCTGGCACTTTCCTTCCCTGATTTGTTTTATTCTGCTGCATTAAAACTCTTCCCCTCCACTCACCCCCCCCCCCCCCCCCCTCCTTTTCCATGACCCTTACTGAAAATCTGTAAATGTAAGTTCAGGGAAGAACACTCCTTACGATGGCAATGCATCTTTAATCTTCATGTGAGAGATGTCATTGTAGAGAGCTATTGAGACCACCTCCTCCATGGGGCAGATGAGCCCATATTCTTCACAGCCATTCTCAATTACCAGAGGATCAGACTTATGTGGGTCAAACATGATATTGTTCGGAGTTACTATCATGACTCCTCCAACTACGCCCTAAAATAGGAGAAGGAAGAATTAGCACATTACATGTAATTCACTTATCATTTGGTATTGGATTTTAGAATACTATCCTAAGAGGAAAAAATTCTCTCCTGACTCTTTATATCCCGTCATGCTAAGTTTGCTAACAAAACATTTTGGTTTCCAGTTGCATCAAGTAAGACGTTGTAAGGAGAGTAAAGAAAGAGATTGCTTTGTGACATCCACATTCCTGGCTGATAAGGAAAAACATCTGAACTATTTAACTTTCAGTGCTGGCTGCTACAAGCTAAAACCGTAGATTGTTAATTGATCTCAGACAAAATAGGCTAGTGGATTTAAAAAAAAAAAGTACCGTTTTATTTTAGATGCAGCCACCTTCATACGATACATGAATTTATATGCAACCAGCATATCTGAAGGCTGTCTTACTCATGGAAATGTCAAAGTTACTATGCTAAGCTACATTACAGCTCCCCTCGATCTACTCTCCCAGAGGTATGTGCAAAAAGCTTCTACATACAGGGACCTGACATGAAACAGTTTCTCCCTGATCTAGAAGCAGCTTCTACCACTGATCCAAGCACATTTTGCACAGCTGTAGAAGACACATTTAATTCTTCAATAAGTGCTCTAGCCATGGATTCGATAAGAGGCTGCATCAGCCATTATTCAACATTCAAGCTATGGCAACTGACCATTTTTCAAGGTTTAAAAAGGAGATTTCCAATGTCTTGCTCCTGCACTCTCTCTTCCAGACAAGCTACAAAATTCACCAGATCAACTCAGAAGCTGTGCGTAAATCATGACATCTGGCAAACCGGAGCCACAGATCACCAGCAATGACCTACACTGTAGATACTATTAATTATCCAAGGTCATCTGCAAGGCAAGCCAAGGAAGGCTAACAAACAGGCAGGCAGATGACCACGGGCTTGATTTGTTTTTTTTTTTTTTAAATCAGAGAGATGCCAAGCTGATGGCTTGGCACTGACAAGCGAGTACATGTGTGCCTGCTCCTTCGTAAAGCAAAGTCTGTACGTATTTCCCATTTGCTGCTTCTGTACGACTCACGTACACATGCCTGGTTTGTGTTTGGATGAAAGAATCAATATCAAGTGCAAAGGCTTCTCCTACAGGTATGTAACTCTATTTAGCCTGAAGAGCAATACATCAGTAGGCTGTACTTCCCACCCAGCCACTGCCGGAAGCAAGGCAACAAGGGATTTTAGCTACACTGGCAGAGAAGTCGTCCCCCCTTTGATTGTTCTGACTCCAAATTACTTTTTCAGTGCTGCAGCCATAAAATTGGCAAACTGTATCCTCTGCACCTAGCAAGCATCACAAAACAAAGCGACAGTATTGCCCTGATTTGGATGCGAGACATCAAGTAGCCCTCTATTACCTTCTACAAAATAGCAGACTGAAAAATTGCAGAGTAGTTAAGTACAGTCTACATCCACTCGATGCAAAAAGAAGCCAAAAACTGTAGGTGTAAACACATCTATCTTACAAAAGTCAGGACTAAGGGAAAAATATGTTTAAACTACAATGGTTAGCATCGCCAGTGTTATAAATTCCAGAGAACTTGAAAACCCAAACACGCAGATATCTAACTGAAACCAGAGTCAACAAGAGTAGATATATCAAAGTAGACAGTTCAAGAAGACAGTGTCTTGCAACCTTGAGAAGAAAAGAGGGTTAAAATACTGCCCGAGCTTTGTGCTTTGCTTCTAAAACAGCTGCTGTAAAATCTAGGGTTGCAGTCCCAGTGGGAACACGTACGTTACAAGAACGCTTGAAAGAAAAAGAAAGAAAAGGTTGTATCATGCAATATTTATCTTTTTATTAGGGTTTGCATGACATTCATTAGCAAGTGCAGAAGCAACATGGACATATTTGGAAACACTGCTCTGAAAACAGTTAAAAATTAGCTTAAAGTCATAAATGAAATACATAGGCATGTGCTCGTTTTATAAAGCTGTTGCACAATTTGATGGAACTGGACAACTAATCCTGACATGTCATAACTCTAAAGTGCAGTTTTCTCTGTGTATCTAGCAATACACTGTTAAACAGATAATTCTGGTAAGATGTGGTAAGGGAATGAAGATGGGTAGAAGAGCTATTCTTTCATAAAGCAATTATCATAGATTAAACAACTGAAAGAACAAAATGATACAGCATATTACCACGGTACCAATAAACGCAGCAGTGATAGACAAAGCCACCATAACATTTACATTCTTTACAAACATGGAGCACGTTTGACTCCCCCAGTATTCATCTCTCACTTATCCAAACAGATTTTGCTTTTAAACAATCTCAAACAATGCCCAGCAGCCAGGTTCCACCTACCTTACCATCTGTGAAGTAACGACAATTCATTTTTAAAAATTTTACAACCACAGGCTCGTCCTCTTCTGAAGTAGAGGACAGGACTCTCTCAACTGGTTTGAAGGCCCTTCTTGCCAAATCAGCATCCTTAAAAAAGAAAAAGTTCAGTGCAGAGCAACAGGGCCAGAATCACGTACTTCTAGATTTTGTGCAACTAAAAGGCCAGGTTCAACCAAATATTTCCCTTTTGCTTAAGGAAGAACAGTGGTGGTCATGTATGCATGCACGTATGTATGTACACTTCCCACAGCATCCTGTATGGAAGAAAAACCTCGTAACATTACAGAAAAACCTCCATGCAAATAACAGGCAGAAATTAAAAATGTCAAGGCAAGTTAGCTCACTGAATTTCAATGAGGTACTCTCATTAAGAGAGGGCCAGTCCTGCCACCTCATCTACATCAAAGACCTCTGCACACAGTGCACTGGTGTGATTCCCCATGCAGGTGGCACAAAGGTGTAAGACTAAGATTAAACACAGTTATTCACTCCAGGCTTCTCTCCACTTTCCTTTTCATTAGTTATGGATTTGAAATGTCTAATTGCTTTAACATCAGCAGCTGGACAGCTAAACTCCCTAAAGCTACTATCTAAAATCATCATGGCCAATCACCCTTCTAAGGAAAACGAAAGATCAGCTATGCCAAGGCATTTCACAAAGATTAAATCCAGCAGTCTTGCCTATATAAGTCAAGTCTATATATGGGTACCACCATAATATGCTTAACTAGAAAGAAACTGACTGCTCAGACTAAACCAACAGCCTCCGTGCTTAAGGATCCCAATGCAGGATCAAGGCTCTGGACTGCAGAGCAGCATAGAAATCTCCAGGGTGAAACACGAAGTAATTCTTCATATTTAACTTTCTGTTCTTTAAAAAGTATACACTACACCATTTTCAACTGCCCAACTCTGGGCCCAACTGAACTTGTACTGGGTTTCTACGCTCAGATAGAATTCCCTTTATTTGGAATATTTTAAAGAGATGGTAAACTTTGTAGTACAGCAAATTAAAATTAGTGTTACTCTACACTAAACACAAGGTCTGAACTGTAACCTCAAAAAATGCTATTTACACAGCCTTGAATCTCAGCTTCAGAATCAGAAATTATTTTGTGAGTTTAAGACCAGTGAACCAACATTTGACTTACAGGGAGTTTATCATATTCAGCATCTGATGATGAAGGAGAAACGGGAGCACCAGGACTGAAAGAAGACAGCCTTGCGGCGCTTGTTTCTGGCACAAAGAGAATCTAAATACGAACACGTATGTCAAAACAGTAAGACACAAGCTTCAAAAAGTTATTCACTATAAATACTACGTTCAACTAGAAAGACAACCCAATATTCATCACTTGTGATTGCAATGCACTCCTTAACAACTACTCATTCTAGAATCCTTCTTCATAGGTGGTGATGGCAGAGGACATGCACGTCTAATTAATTACAGGATCTAGCTCTACCTTTTGTATTGCAGCACAGTCAAGAAAATAAAACATTTTCCACAGAATGAAAACCTCCTTTTTCTTCCCCAAAGTTACAGTCCCAGATTGTCTTGCAACTATCGCAACTACAAAACAAGTAACTGTAAAACGACTGTTAACAGTCATTAACTTGTAACAGCAAACTCTGATTCAAAGAGAAGGCCATTGCCGAAGATGGTGAATTTGTATTGCTAGAAGTTTATAACACTTCGCGATAGATTGTCTGTTTCCAAAAATATACTTGCATCTCCAAATTTAAGAAAAAATTCTTTATATGAACCAGCATTGTATCATCATATACTACATTTAAAAGAAAAAAAAATTACACTAATATAAATGTATATAAAAATACAATGCTTTGTTTGAATTTTCACATTCCCTCATAGTGAACATCCCAGATTTTTAGTACAGCAGTACTAAAATTGCAGTACAGCTTTGGACCTCCACCCCAAATAAAAAGAGTCATTTGTTGCAAGTGTCAGAGCAAAGAAAGATACTTCTAAAGCTAAAAAAATGTTCACAGTTTAGTTTTAAACTAAAAATGTTCAGAAAAATAAAACCATTCTGCTCATCCCAGCTTTTGTCTGCTGGGTATTCTTAGGCAAGTCACACCATCTCTTTGTGCCTCAGTTTCCCCATCTGCAAACCAGGACATTTCAATCTCTTCATGTCCATGACGCAGAAGTAGAGATCTGCTCTTCGCGAACCAGGTGTTAAGACTTCATATTTGCATTTCCATTACTTGACTCTCTCAAAACCAGTCTGTCTCCATTCATTTCTCATCTTACAGGAGACTGACTCATCCCCAACATGATGGCAAATAGCCACTTAAATTACTGTATCTAACTCTCTAATTCTTTAATGTATTATATATAGCATTTATCTAGGTTTTCCAGTAATTCTACTCTCTTGCAACAGCTACATTACCCTCTTGAGCTTCAGAGTCATCTTTAAGCTTTACTGACACCAAATAAATAACAGAAGTCAGATATGGCAATTACAAAGCCCCCTACCCCCCCGCCCCTGAACTCCAGGTAATGATCTACTGAGTTCCCCTTTGAAGCATTTAAATTACTGTTCATTATCTGTGTATCCAAGTATCTAAAATATATGTGAAAGTAGTAAAAAGCTTTTAAATACATAGCAAATCATCAGGTTTCAGGTATAAAAAAAACATAAAAGATTTACCTGGCCTGGCACAATTGTCTGCGTGAAAAGCTTATTGAGCTCCACAAGCTTGTTTGGGGTGATGTTAAACTTCAATGCTATGCTGTTTATGGTGTCCTGATTTCCAGCCTGAAAAAAGAGTTGAAGCTTAAGATACCATAGTGAACACATTCAGCACACCAGCTGAACTAAAACCATCTAACAGACTGTTTGCAGGGAATAGATTTGATGATCTCAACACACCCTCTGTTTAATAGCTTACGTGATAAGCCACTATCAATAAAAAGAAAAAAAATATATCCTCTCATACTATACAGTAGACAAAACAGAGGTGTTACAGACGTCCCTCTCCTTTTCTCATAAAACTTTACAGCAGCACCACCTTATTTAGAACTGGTCTGGCAAGTGGGGAAAGGACACACACTGGAAAGTTCATTACACCTTCACAGTCGCAGCACGTCAGGCATTTGTGCTGTTCCCAGCTGGGACACTTGTCTTGCACACTCACTCTGTGTGATGGAGAGTGAGGTTCAGCGACCCGGCCGGCTCACACAGAGACCTTCCGGGCAGAGGCAGTCCTCCGAGCTGCCGCAGCAGCACACTGCCACCCTGCTCCAGCTTAAAGAGGTCTCGCATCATCTCAGGACCAAGCACAGGCCAACCACTTGACGACATAATCAGCACTGTGGAATGGAAGTATTTTTCAGAATAACAAAACCAACCACTAGAGAGCCATGGTGCCAAAGTAAAAATAGGACCAGCACCTGTGAGAAGAGGCAGAGGACCTGGGTTGAACAGCGGTTCGGGACATGAGCCTCGCCCTTCCCACACAATGATATTTGGAGCAATCCCTATTGAGATAGGTACGAACTGCAGCCAGTATTCCCTTAGTGCTTTCAGTTTTGTGCCACTGGCTCCCTCTCAACCTCAACAACTTCATTTTCAAAAAGCAGACATGAACAAAGCACACACCAATACTTACAGTGTATTCTATGGTACCATGGGGTTTCTGAGAAACCATTTTTTTCTCTTTCTTTTCATTGGTTTTGTTTTGATTGTCATCTAAAAAGAAAAAAAAATATTCAAGTAATTGACTTTCAAGATGGTTGCCTATCAACACGTTTTGAAAGAGATCTACAGGATGTGCAGAATTGCAGCTATGAACAGGAACAAGAGGGCACATCAAAAATATCTATTAGGCCTTAGAATTGCATTGTAAGGCAAGCAAAACTTCATCAAGTACAGCAGGTTTAGTAATCATTCAGGAACTCTGCAAGAGTAATGTATACGTGATACCATATCAATACAGAACTGCTCCCATGTTTTCCGCCGTGATTCCTACACAATTCAGCTGTTGGATACAAGTACTTTGTGTGATGAGCTGCTGTCAAGGCCGATGCAGAAACCAGCAGATGAACGTACGCACTGATACTGCATCAGTAGGACCACAACAAAGACTGGTTAATCACCACTTCACCACCAGTACATCATATTTAAATACCATTTTAAACTCTGAGGGTACAAGTATGCTAAGAGTCCTGCAAAACGTGCATGCATACAGTATACAGTCAAGTATCAGAAAGCATGAAGCTTGTTCAGAAGACATTTTCCATCAGCTACAGTATGCAAAACTCCTTGTGCCTGCGGAAACCCTTGCAAGACCTGAAAGGCACACGTGAGCTCTCAGGAGCATGAGCAGAGTAGCTATTTCTAATTCTTACCACGGCAGAGGGTAGGCAAAGCCGAAGATCAGGGAAGACGCCTGCTGCCCAGCCAACCCCAGCTCCCTGAAAGCGATGCCAGCCCCAAGGGCTCACCCTCTGCACCCCGAGCCCAGACCCGCATACCTGGGGGGGACGAGGACGGCACGCAGCCCCAGCTCCAGGAGCGGGGCCGGGGCGCAGAGAGGCCATGCATGGCTGCCCCGCTCGCCCAGCCTGCTCGCCCCCGGCCCCTCGGAAAGGTCCTGCTGCCTCTGGCAGACATGGGGAGAGGCGAGAAGGCACAGCAGGGCTGGGCCCAGCAAAGCCAGCAGCCAGGACTAGGAGCGGGAAGACGCTGCTCTCCTGGGGGGACTGCTCCTGCGGTCCTAGCCGGCAGCTCCGGAAGGAGGTCAGGGAGGAAAGGACAGGGAATGGCAGCGCAAAGCTTCTGACTCGCATTCAGGCTTTGCTGCAACCTTTGCTATCTCCAGAGAGCAAGAAGCAGGTAGTAAAAAAAGAAGGGCAAGGACTCGCCTGCCCCACTGTAATGTACACAAGGAGAAAGGAGGGGCTCAGAAGCGTGCTGCACCTGACCCTTCTGCCAGCCCGTTTCCACAGCGAGATTAATGCTGGGGGCTGCCTCAGCGTCTTCCAGAGGCTACGCGGTCAGAGACCATCTCCTTCAGTCACCAGAGACTCACCAGAGCCCAGGCTGGTGCACAGAGCTGAACATCCATCCAGGTGTTACTGCCGGGACACCCCACCCACTGTCTGCCAGGGATGCAGTCATGAGAAGCACCATGGTTAGCAACGTAACAGATCGCAAAGACATTTTTCCCACAACGTAATAGAGGCAGAAAGCACGCAGGGACTAAACACACACAATTTAAGTACACGTGGCATGAAGGACAGAGGTAGGAAAAGGAAGATCAGGACGATGCTGTCTTTTCCCTGATAGCATTCTGGAACAGAGCATCACGCAATGATCTCAGACATTTCATCTTTGAGACTGGAGACCCACGGTAAAACTTTTAAAATTAGCATTCTTTTTCTGACCATCTGTATTTCCATCATTGCCACACCATCTTCCTCTGATCAAAGTCAAAGCAGTCTATGGTGAAGGATGGAAAAATAGGTAATGACAACATTAGAAAAAGCACAGTATCAAACTACCAGAAACACAATGCCAATATGGCAAACAAAGAAGGGACAAATAGTGGATGTTCCCTTAATCCATTATTTACGTACAACTGCCGATATGGACATAATCCTGAAGAAACTCCCTCAGCCAACAATGAGTGAGTTCACACTATTTTGTGCTACTCAGGAGATACCACTTCAATTACTCCAGGATAACTAGAACTACCTATCATATCCGTGCAGGCAAACTACCTAGCTGTCACCGACCCATCACTGGAGAGAGACAAGCAAGGTTTATAGGTAGACTTCATCTTCTCATAAATCATTTGGTGTAGCTGGAAAAATTAGACAAGTTTTCAGATACATTAACTCTTGCTTAGCTCTGGAACAGCACACAAAGTAGGAAACAGTAAAGAACAATTATTTCATACTAACCAGATGTGCATCAGTAAGACCTTTGGATGGGAGGGAAATAAAAACAAAGTAGCCCAGAGAGATGTAGAGAGATGGAGATTTTGTACCTGCTGAATGTGAAAAAGTTTAAGTCTGCGTGTGGATGGGAGGAATAACAATACGCAATAAAAGCAGTTTCTCTGCAGAGCTTATGATGTTTGGTATTAGCTAAACATTTTCATTCCAAAGCTCTGTCTTTGGAAAATGGAATGGTGGCTGAGAGCTGACCATGACAGCAACCACTATACCACCGTCGCACAAGACCACAAAATACTCTAGCAATACCAGTAACTTTCTCCTCTACAGCCTCCTGCCTGGGAGGGGATGTTTCTCTCTCTCACACCTCTGTCTACCCCTGTAAAATACACTATTTTTCAGGTCCTCCTAATTGCATTGGCTGCATAAGTTTGGAGATAAAAAAATACTACCCAGTGAAAAGTTATAACCCAAAATACTGTGTTGCAAGGAGGCATATAATACGCTCTAGTTCGTGGCTGACAGGACTGTGGGTCTGTTTGTTTAGTAGGGTCTCCAACACAACTGTGGTGCAATACAGAAGAGTGAGGTAGATACACGTAGTTGAAAACCCCAAACCATACAGACAAGTAAAAGAAAAAGTTCAAAAGACAAGCTGAATTTAGACTGAACATAACACAGTCCTTCTTTTGCCAAAAAAGGTTAATAAATCCTAAATAAGCCCAACAATTAGATGGTTTGCTTTTCTTTCACATCTACCTGTCAGAATGTATGTTGTACAGCCTGTTTAGAATCACAGAATCATAGAATTGTTTAGGTTGGAAAAGACCCTTAAGATCATTAAGTCCAACTGTTAATCTAGCACTGCCAAGTCCACCACTAAACCATGTCCCTAAGCACCACATCTACCCATCTTTTAAATACCTCCAGGGATGGGGACTCAACCACTTCCCTGGGCAGCCTCTTCCAGTGCCTGACTGCCCTTTCAATGAAGAAAACAGTCCGAAAGAAGCAGTCACAGTCTGTGAACCCACCTGTCTTCTAAAACCAAAATCTGACAATTCTTGTTTGGATACTTTTTTGTTCCCCCCCCACCCCTTTTTGGTTTTAAAATCCCACCAGCAGGGGTTCTGGGCACCATCCTTACACTGAGCCTAACTACTTGGCAGGCTTTGGCAATTACAAACCACATCATATCACTTTGAGCAGTGGGAAGTCTTAACTAGTCTGTATTTTTAATTGTGCATATAAAGCTTTAAAATTATAAATTAAAGAATTCAGACCTTCAGAGGAAAAAATTCCAATGAACCCGTTAAATCTGACAGGTACTGCTAACCTCACTGTACTGTACACGTAGCGAGGCCAAGGTCACTAATTATGCTCTGCATGAATGGTTACAGGGGAGGGGGTGGAGAGCCTGGCAAAGCAAGCAAAACACCACAATATACCATTTCTCCAGTTCCCTTATCCTCTCTCATTTCTCCTTCAGAAAGCCAAATGTTTTCTGACGTGATCTGAAGGCAGCTAGCTCTAGGAGTAGTCCCAAAGGCACCCAGAGCACACGCAGGCGTGACAGAGTCCTCAGTAACCACATTTCTTTCAGACAGAACTAGCTGGAAGAGCTGCACCTCTCCACAGGCTATAAAATAAAAGCCACTGGCTACTTTTTGAACTTGGACATTTGCGTAGTGGTGAAGTGACTGACGGTTCTGCCTCCCAAGTTTTCCTGCACTGCACGTACATGGAAGATGGGATCGTACAACCATGAGAACTGACTAGGTGTTAATGCAAATTTGATCACACTGCATTTTTAGGAAAAGGGTGGAGTGGGTGGACTGAACCTCTCTGTGATTTCAGGAAACATGTAAAATAAGAATTATGTAAAACTAGTAAAATTAATGAGCAACGAGAAGAAGAATGCCAAGTGAGAACAGGCAAGAAAAGACAGGCCTATTGAAAACAGATAGGTCTGGAATGGAAATTTTTCTGCCCTTATTGATATATTTATACCTAACTCAGTTTCCTAGCAGACTGTTCATATTTTGTTTTGCAATGCTATGGGAAGCCTTACAAAAAGGAGTTACCTAGGAATAATTTGGAAAGCAACTATCGAAGGAGTATGACAAAGAGGTCAATCAGTTTATCATCCAAAAGACCTTGACACGATAGGAGAATTACACCTCTGCAACTATGTAAACAGCTGTATCGAATAGGTCAAGAAGCATCAACAGAAGCCCGGGCTGCCCACGCTGACATATGACGTGCCACTGCAAGACAATACCGTCAACACCAGTGTTACGGACTAACCTGCTGCCAGCCAAAATCAGTGCAGGGTTTCGCAGTGCTGGCGGTGACAGCTGAAACTGCCGAGCAGTTCCCGAGCCATCAGTTAGGCTGGCGTCTGGTACTGCTAGCAGGAACGCTGAAGTAAACAAGGGGCCAAAGGACTAATCACTTCCCACACCAGGTAAACAAACTCAGCAGCCTGAGAGAATAGCAGCAATGGCATATTGGACCAAAAGTCCATTTTACTCATTAATCTCTGTCTTACCAAACACTTAGACGGCACGTAAATAGCGAAATCTTTCCCCTGACTAGCCCCCTCGGCTTCTAGAAATCATGGATTTCCCAGGGTAGAGGAGCAGCATCCACTGAAGTCCCCAGTCCCTCCAAGACCTCCACACTGGTCCTATGCCAATGATAGGAAGGAAACGGTACCGTGATGTGCTACATAAAGCAGTGCTTCCTTTCTTGTACTTTATACTTGATTAATTTCACTGTGCATCCTAA